GCCTGGAACAACGGGAGCACCAGCTCCAACTGCTGGACCTCCGGTGCCTGGAACAACGGGAGCACCAGATCCAACTGCTGGACCTCCACTGCCTGGAACAACGGGAGCACCAGGTTCAGGTGGACCATTCACATCGTCATCGCCTTCTTCAACAACAGCACCAGGTTTGGTTGGTTCATCTACGATATTCAGACTGAAACACTAGCTTCAACAACTAAACACCCAACAGATAATTCCACCAGTATCCTATCTGACATTTTCTCCAGATCCCAGCATTTGTTGGTTTTAGGAGCCCTCACAATGCTGTGTGTGTTTGTGTGTGTTTTCCTTTACCTTTTAAGATCCTTGTCACATCAACCCATGCGGCCGGGGGAGCACCTGTGCAGCCCGTGCCGATCAGACCTTTGTATGCTTGTGCTTGCTGGGTGATAACTACAATTATATCAGCAAGACTTGTGAGAATGGTAAGTGAGTGGTTGCAAACCACAACCATGAAGGTGTAAATCCTTGCAAAAGAGTCTGAATGAAAACATTTGTGTTTTTTTCCTGGGAGTTGAGATGTTCAGAGCATCTTGGACGGAAGCTGCATTTCTCAACAATGAAATACGAAACTGTTATTTTACATAAACAGTGACATGAAAACACGATTCATCCATGTTTTTTTCTTTTCAGCCAAAGCTTTCCTTGGAGAACTTTCCCTGCCGGATTTAACCTACAAGCCAGAAATGCAAAACATGGAATCACGAGAATTTAAAGATGCTGCGCTAACAATTGCTACTCAGGTAAGCAATCTGTTATCTCCTCTTTTTATGTGGCTCTGCTGATATTTTTAAAAGCTATGGCTTGGAATACAATGTGTGCCTGTTGCTCTTATGTTTTAATACCCTTTATCCACTGGCTTGAAGGGATGCCCTTATTCATGAGTTGCCCCCATTTTATTACCTTGAGCACCTGCAAAGGGGAGTAATGTTTTTTGGAGATACCCTCCCACGTTATATTCCCACCCAGTTTTTCCATGCAGTGTTGAGTTATTTTGTAGATATATACAGTGTGCGAACAGTATGCATCAACCCTCTGATGCTTTATTTTATCTAAATCCATCTTCAAACCAATAGCTGACTGTGGCTTATTGGGATCATCTGGTGCAGTAGTAATTAGAGCTAGTACAGCTGTATGATGAAAAATACATAAAAAGTGCATTGAAGTTATTGAAACAACCTAAAAAAATGTATTTTCTTTCCTCAACACAGCTGTCTGATGCTTTCCCTGAAGATGGTTTCTCTAATGCTACAGTGCTCTCACTCAAGTAAGTCTCACAGTGACTATTTACCATTGGTTTTGTCCATCTGGAACAATACTTCTTACAGTACATTTAACAGTATATTGCACCTAATAATATAATCATTTAGTGTGATTTGTGTCCATTCAGGGAAATTGTACAGAGAAGAGTTGGGTCAGAGTCAAAGCCCGGGGTCACAGCATCAATAGAGATCAACTTTAACACGAATTCTAAGATCACAACAAATGATGTTGTGGATAGGATTGAAAAGGCTGATGGCCTACTGGGAACTGCAACTTACCAAGGTAAGTTAACTACATGAATCTAGTATGTACGTCTGATCATTATCCAGTTTGATGTGTTTGCGAGTAGTGAGGGTTTCAACAGTTTGGATTTATTCTGTCCTATATTTGTTCACAGATTTCACATTTGCTTTGTGAAATTCAAAACTATCTGTTGCTTTAGTGTTCAAGAACATCACTGTCTTTATGGATTTTGGTCCAGTGGCCTGTTACATGAGGATGTGTATTGATATATTTACCGTCCTGCAGTTGTTCAGCAATTGCTTCGCATAAAAAATGGACAAAAGCTTTCGACACACTGTATTAGAAATACTAAATAGATTTGTTTCAGGGTATAAAATGTACTTAATTGGATTTCTTAACTGCTATTTTAATGTGTTGTTGTACTCACTTGAGTAAGGTGTGCTGAGGAAGAATCTGTTTGTGTTTCCTCTCAATAAAGCGGAAGATCTGTGCAAGGGGCAACCCTGTGATGATGAGACTACCACTTGCGATTCGGAAAATGGATCTTTTAACTGTAGCTGTCGGGAATACTACGTCAATATGGACTACAGCAGCAGAATATGCGTCGGTAAGGACATTTAGAGAGAGAGAGAGAGAGAATATGATAATTCTAATTTAACTAAACCACTAATCTCTATATTTGCAGCTTGTCCCACTGGGGAGAAAACAGTGGATTCCATGCATTGTGTCAAGTAAGTTCTTAAATTGACATTACACATTCTGAAAATGTCACACTTTCTTTCGACAAGCATATTTTTCTTCATCTCTCTATTCCTACCTACTTACCTACCTGCCTACCTTCCCATACCTACATACCTGTACCTACCTTCCCATATCTATGTTTGCATAGAAGCATTGAATAACCCATTCTTCTTGTCTTTCAGGTGTGAGTTTGGTTATTCTGGTTTCAACTGCTTGGAATGTGAGTATACACTATGTATAAGAGACACACATTTTTTCATGATTCCTGTGAACATTAGCACAAACCTTTACGGTTCCTTTGCTCTATTTCCATGGCTGACATTACTGTCCCTGTCACCGTGTGTTATTAGCCTGGAAGCTAAAACTGGTTATCGTTGGCTCCGTGCTCGGGGGACTGCTGCTCATTACACTCATCCTTCTGCCCATACTGCAACTGAGGTGAGGATCTTATCCGTACATTCACTCCCACTCATTCATTTATGCCTCTGTCATGCTCTCGTCTCACTCACGTTACACATTAACCTTCATGTAACCAGGTTAATTATGAACCTCTATTACCGTGACATGGTAGCAAGGCATTTTCAATGCGTCATTTTATTTTATGCATTAACACATTTTGTGGATTTGACTCAAGGAAAAACTCATGAACAAATGGTAAATATGGACTATAAGACAGTAATGTGGTAACGATTATAGTAACAGTAGTATATGACCTTTTTTAATCTCAGGAGATCCCCAAAGAAGAGCAACAAGAAGAACGAATATGTAGACATCGGGAAACCTTATGTCAGTCACCCTCCTGCCAAGTCACCGCTGGCTAACGGTAACGGCAGCTTCATTAACAGCCAGACACCCGCATTTCAGGGGTCGGGCTTTGAAGGGGCTGGGATGCCCAGAATCCCTCGAGCAACAGCTAAAAGCAGCTGGGACAGCAGGACCAACCTGGAGATGATTCCCAGCAACAGCCGGCAAAACCTGGTCCCTGTGGACAGAAACTCGGTGAGCATGGTAATGTGGGAGGGTAGTTAGGGTAAAGTATAAAAGTTTGAGGCAATTATCTTAAAGAATGTAGAGAGAGAACCAAAAATGTGTGTTTCGTTTTGTGGTACTAAGGATATACTGTACACATTTGATTTTATAATTCACTCATAAAAGTATTATTCTTTTCATCAGCGCCTCTACGACTCGGCCGATGACGTGAGCTCATACACTGGACCCCAGAGCAACTACTATGCACCAGCACGACCACGGAGCAACCCATACGCCCAGAATCGACCTCAGAACAACCCGTATGCTCAGAACCAGGGCCAGACCAATCCTTACACGCAAAACGATGGAAAATGGTAGAACTGATGACGAATCCAAAAGGTTTACGATAGAAACCTTCTTCTGACCAATTATAAGCTGTCATGAATCATTCCTGTCTTTCCTCGACTAATCTTTGAGAAGAGTTAGGGTGAGGAGAAAAGCTATCCAACTTTTCAAAGTTTTCTCACTATTTTTTCTATGAATCTTATTTAACAATATCTAACTGAAATGGCTTTGAACCAGAAATGGATTCTTTTAAATTAGGAGCTGTTTAATATCAGCTAATATCTCTCTTGTCAATGGGTTTACAAATAATTGTTATGTTATTTTTGCGGGTTTGTGATGAGTCTGGTTTATGTGCAAAACTAAACTGTTTTTGTGAATGAGACAAGTATTCTTTTGTTTGAATTAATTAATTAATTTAATTAATTAAATCAGGGCCTGTTAGACACCTGGACATACTTCAACATAATTTGTGTAAAATGTTTACGACATTGAAATTGTTTTATGTTCTATTGTATATCGCTGTGAGCATATTTTGTTTATGTTTAACATATATTCATGACTGACTGATACCAAGCTATTAAAATAGCAGTAATATGAATTAAAAAGCAATATTTAGAAATATTTTACCAAGTAATTTATTACTTTTTCCTTTGCAAATCATTATATCATATGATATTTCATTTAACGATAAAATGTTTTTAAAAGTAGTTTTAACCACAAAAGGTTTACATGCATTTAACGCTACTTTGAAATAAATGGATTTCCACTTCTTTTGTTGTCTCACAGATTCTTCACCTGAAGAAAAACTAGGAAGGCAGATCATTTTACATGTTAAAGGTTAATCTGACAGTTACATTAAAATAAACAAATAATTCCAATCCTGATTACACAGGATATATTTGATTTATGGTAGGTAAAGCATGAAGGTAAATACAATAATCAAAAGTGCTGCTGTTCCCAAGTGTCTTTCTGGTTCCACCGCCAGAGTGAGCCAAAGTTGAACACTTGTAAATTAATTAATTAATAGAAGGCTGATAAATAATAAACCACATTAGTGTCCACAGGATTGAGGCACCACATGGTTGACAAATGTGTTTGGTTGTAACTCTCTCAGAGTCAAATAAAGCCTCATAACAATCTGCACTGTAACAAATGTCATTAACTCATCAACATGCAACAACAGAAAACACAGTGGCTACTTAGTTTAGTTATTTTATACTGACACGGACAATATAACATTTGGGTCTCACCAATATATAAAGCATTAATATATATATATATTCAACATGCCTGTGCTCTAATTTTGCAAACCTGAGGACTCTGTAATACTCTAAGCAGATCCACATATTAACTGTTATAGCTTCATTTTAGTTTTCTGAGGAGAATCAGACTTTTCAACAGGCCTTTCATCTTTCCAGCAGTTTCTGATACATTTTTCACTTAAACCTTTTTGAAACAACTGCGACTATTTCTTGATCTTTTCTGCAAAGCAACACGCTTCCGTTTCTTCTGCACAATAAACCGATTAAGCAACATTTGCGTTGCAAGGTCACACATTGTTAAAACACAATAAAGAAACCAGCAGACGCTGCAAGTAATTTATTAAGTGTAAATATGACACTGTAATTTGGCACTGATCTGATGATAAAATCTCACACCTCCCATGATGCAAATCCTTTTATTTCATTTAAAAATCGTGGAATTAGGGAAATTATAAAGATGTAGTTTTGCAAAACTGTGCCACATTTATATGAAATAATAGATCTAATAAATGCACAGTAAAAGAAGTACCTGTACAGTACAGACAAATACTACCCTTCCCTGTGTACAGCTACAAAGGTAATATTAAAAGTATTCTGTATAGTATGGTTACAATTCATTAAATATGTGCCAAACCCTGTTGTACCATATTTGTTACCATATTGCATTTTATATGTATCTCTGTTTATATCACGCTTACAACTATAAAATCATGAGTTTGAATTTGTGTTCCATAAAGGGCTTGTAAAAAACCCTCATTATCACATTTGATATGGAATTGTATTATTTTTTTATTTTTGTTATCAGGTTATCGAGTAAATACATCGCGTGGATGCATAAATTTAAAAAAAGGCACTAAAGTCTTTATTATCCCTGGTTTCAACCACGTACAGTGTTAACTACTTGCCACACTGTTACACAAAAATGAGTGGTTGCTTTTTCTTGCTGATGTAGACAACATACCAACAAGCAAAAGTTAATCTTAGATGAAGTTTATGTAAAGAAGAAAGTCATAAAAGGCTGAATTACTCCATGTCACATTACTGGTCTGCTGTTTGCTCTGGGTCAAACGTCTCAGTCCCAAAGGCACAGTCTTCCTGCTGCTCGTTTGGAGTAAGGATGCAGATCTAGAATGAGTGTACACACTTTATACTAAACTCCTGAACACAAGAGAACTCAAGAGGACGGTTGATCATTACATTATGGCCTTTAAGGGTCTTCATCTTCTGTCTATTCTACTGCTGTCCCAAGGAATCCATCTTTCTCAAGGTACGTCATCTTGATCTAAAAAACATTTTCTGAAATCCAATCAGTTGGGATGCAAATAATGCAAAAATAATTCAAGTATAAGGTATGAATTTATGGTTAATTTGGAGATTTTTGCATCATCATCAATTTTACCAAAATTAGTGTCAATGGATTTTTATCTTTAGTCATTGCTTCAATTTTTTTTAACTGCACAGAAACGTTTCAGAGATTTACTCACAAAAGAGTTTTAACAAGTCTGATGAAAGAAATCTTAGAATTATTTATTATTTGTATTACTTTTGACTTTGAAATCTATTTATTGATAGGTGATGAAAATGAGCCTCTGCCTCCTGAACTATCTTGGCATAGTGATGAATATCCTGAAATAATACAATTGGTATTTAAGATTACTTTGTAGTCATCTCAAACTTTTCATGTGGTGGTAAGAATTAAAACTTTTTTATCGGGTCCTAACTGCTAAAAATGACTTTTTATTACATTTTGCTTGAAAGTTTTGAATCCACACATGATGAGAAAATCTGTGCGCAATTATCTGTCTCATATGATTTCCTGGATTCTCTCAGGTCAAATGCTGGACTGTTCTTTCAAGGTGAAGAATTAACTACCCTTTAAAGGCCAAATCACATGTTTTGAGGTTTAAAATGCTGCATTTGTCATAAACATAGTAACTCATTTGTCAAGGAAACAGTAAAATAAACTTTATTTTCATTCAAAGAACATCACACATCAAAAAGTGCAACGCAGCTGAAAGCATTTTCTACAGTGTTGAAGAGGGACAAGAACACATTGCTCCCATAAAAAAAATTAATAGTGACTTTTTGACACTGTGTGTGATTTCTGCAGGAAGTTGTGGAAACGGGCAGTTTCAGTGCAACAGTGGACAGTGCATAGACGCAACCTGGAGGTGCGATGGAACCAAAGACTGCACAGATGACTCCGATGAGCTAAACTGTCGTAAGTATTAAAACCAGTCACTGAAAACACGCACACTATAGCCAATTATAAGAATCCAGTGTTTTGGGGATTTTGGATATCCACCAGATTATTTAACTGATAAAAAACTTTTTAATTGTTCTTTTGGCAGCAAGTCCATCATGCACCTCACAGCAATTTAAATGTGTGACAAGTGGTGAATGCATTTCATTGGGATTCGTCTGCGATGGAGAGGAGGACTGCCTCGATGGCTCTGACGAACAAAGAAGCTGTGGTATGCTTAATTGATTGTTTACACGCTGAAGGAAATTTAAAATCATGTGGCTGTTTCCTTTAAAATAATGCTGACTGTTGACATACCTGTGATATTTAAAGAAATCTTATTGTAAATCCTAATGATTTTCTCAAAATAGGGCAAATATGAGCACAAGCGTACAGAAACCACTAGGTGGCCACATGATCTCAATTTATAACTGAAGCTATTTGATAATCATGGAGTTCAAATTAACCTATAACATGTAATTTTAAAGAAGTGTGGCGCTTATTGAAAGTATAATTTTCCTGCAACATAGCATTTTGAAACAAAACCCACCCATGTGCTCTTGGTTCAGGGGGACGGACCTGCAGCTCTGACCAGTTCACCTGCCAGGAGGGCCAGTGTATCCCTGTTAGATACAGATGTGACCATGTGAAGGACTGTGTGGACAACTCTGATGAGAACAGCTGCAGTAAGAGTTTTACATCTACTGGGAACTAAGCATATCGTACCTTACTGGACACATTTTCCTCTTTTGTTTAATAAGAACCATTTTATTGGTATGAAGATAAGTTTGGCTTTTGTGCAGACTACCCTTCTTGCACTGAGAAGACTTGTGCTAACGGGGCCTGTTATACCAACTCTCAGCACTGCAACGGACTACAGGACTGTCGAGACGGCTCTGATGAATCCAACTGCAGTGAGTTGACAACAGTGAATCTTCCTTTTGAAGATCATGCAGATGTGTTAATACTCACATAAACATTACACAGGGGTTTTAAAGTGTGCAGTGTCATCTACTATAAGTGTTCCCACTTCTAAGATTTGCTTTAGTTTAGCTAGTTAGAAGCACTTTAATTCCCAGTGGGTTTCAGTAATCGACAGATCCTTTTTAAATGTCTTCACTGCATTTGTTTTCAGCGACTCAGCACTGCCCCATCCACCAGTATCAGTGTGCAAATGGCTTCTGTATTCCAATGTCCTTTGTATGTGACCACTGGGACGACTGTGGGGACGAAAGTGATGAACAAGACTGTGGTAAGGATAACAATGACTCAACAGACAATGTACAGGCCTGTTTAATTTCTACAGTTAACAATCAATTGAAATAAGTGCTACAACCCAGAAGACGTTTCCATGTTGAACTGATGAAGTTTCCTCGTGAAGTATTCTAATACTGCTACACCGGAATTTACTATTCTCTTGATATATATTTAGTTTGCTGAACAGTTTGATTTAAGATTCACTGATAAACTTTGTGGAAATGTTCCTCTTCAAAAGTAATCGTTGTTACTTTAAAGGTTCAGTGTGTAGGGTTTAGTGTCATCTAGTGGTGACTTTGCATGTTGCATGTCTCCATAGAGAGGACCCGCTCCTGATGTAAATATAAAGTATTTAAATATACATTTCTGCCAATTCACCCAAATCTTACACACTGGACCTTTAACGTAAGATTGGTCTTTATGTCAGTTTCCGTGTATAAGGAGATGGGTAAGAATTAATAACATAAATAAATGTGACTTCATTCATCAGCGTATCCGAGTTGCAGCGGCAACGAATTCTCATGTTCCAGTGGTCGCTGTATTCCTCAGAACTGGGTGTGCGACAAGTTCAACGACTGTGGGGACTTCAGTGATGAGAAAGGATGTGGTGAGAGAACTTGTTCTTGAGGGTGGACTTAAATTTTGAACAGGAAATTTGGAACCACATGAAGATTTATTTTCAACATTGCACAAATGAAAAATGAATTGAAGTAGAAACAATTAGACACAAACAAAATACTTTTCGTTTATATCTTGTGGATATGTTCTTTGACGGAGTAAAATGACTGAATGATACATTTTTTGAATCCACTCCTCAAAAATTCAGACACATACAAAACACTTACTTTTTTAGCATCAATTAAAAATGTGCCTGTCGTAATATTTCATAAATCGTAACCGCAAGTGTCTCTGGGGTTTTTAGATAGCAACTCTCGGGACTGTTACCCTGGTGAGTGGGGATGCCCGGGCTCTACAGCATGTATACCAGTGGTCAAAGTGTGTAACGGCATACCTGACTGTCCTGGAGGAACAGACGAGAACAACTCCACCACACAAACCTGCAGTAAGTCACACGGATGTTCCTGAATTAAAACTTAATACTTCTTCACATACTCATGCTGCTATATGTACCTTCTTTAATTGACCTATAGCTGACAGTAAAAACAGCCTGATCAGAGGAAACAAGCAGATCTGAATTAAATGAACTGAATTAATTCTTGATGTAAAAAGAGACGTAGTCAAACATAGGCTGCCGTACATGTGCCACACTCTGTTAGGACTATAAATGCAGGAGCAAGGGTTTAGACATTATGGCCGTGTCATACCCATGTCTTACAGAAGTCAGCTGTTAAAACATCATTATCACTATTCCCTTCCTTATCACTGCCCTCACACCTGACTTAACATGATCATTTACTGGCCGGTCAGGTGGTTCTGACAATGTTCTGCCATGATAATGATCACAGTAGAAACCTCAAGTGATCTGACCTCAATTTAACTATGATGTAAATTTTTACACACAGGCCTGGATCGCTGCTCCGCCTTGAGCTGTGAGTACCTCTGCCACCCATCTCCTGAAGGAGGTGCTTGCTACTGCCCCGATGGTTTCATTGTAGCCAATGACAGTCGTTCTTGTGTCGGTGAGTTTTTTGATATGTATCTACGTTTGCTGTGTCGTTGATAGCAGAAGATTATCAGGTTGTTACAGAACAAACGTTTTTAGAAAAGCTTCTTAAACATTAAATGGGTTCCCTCTGTAAAAAACAAAAACTACCATCTTTATGTTATGTTACTCTGGTTTCAAATCACTGTTTGATATCCTCACCTTAATGCCATGAGCTAAAAAATTGCTGTTTTTATTGCCCAGACTATAACGACTGTCAGATCTGGGGGATCTGTGACCAGCTTTGTGAAGATCGTCCTGGGACACATCACTGCAGCTGTGCTAACGGCTACTTCTTGGAGCAGGGTCATATCTGCAAAGCCAATATATCAGGTACAGAGTCACACATCTCACAGTAGTTTTATACAGTATCTTTGTGCAACTGCAAGTATGTGTATTGTACAAGCACGCAAAAGCATTTACTAAAAAGTAAAATTGTCCTCATGCTTATCAATAACATAAGTGGGTTTAGTGTATATTTTTTATAGTAGCATCACATATTTAAGATGAATACACCTTTCCAAAATGAAGTCACTGCTGAAGTCTAGTGTGTGTGATTTCCAGCTGGAATACCACAACTCATTTTCACAAACGGGGGAGACGTGATGATGGCAGATATACACGGACGCCTTGTCAGAACTTTGGTGCCGTCTCAGGGCAAAGGTTATGCTGTTGGTGTGGCTTACAACTGGCGTACTGATATCGTTTTCTGGAGTGATACTTATACCAAAAAGGTCAGTCTGGTTCCCTGTCTGCTGACAGATTTCTTTCTTCGTTACCTTTGTCATAGCTTCTTTGTACAGGTGCAAAAATTCACTACTGAAATTCAGCAGTAATAGTCACTACAGCAGTAGTTGAGTTGGGTCAGAAAACTCAATCATGACCAAACCCTTTCTTTCTTTTGCCAGGTATATTCTGCTAACTATAATGGGGGTAACATCAGGGAGGTTCTGAATACCTCAGTCCATAATGTCCAGAACCTCGCTGTGGACTGGATCAACTTCAAACTCTATGTCTTAGAGGTCATGGTGGAGCGTATCGACATGTGTGACTACGATGGAGATAATCGGGTCACACTGGTCGCTGAAAACCTGCATACCCCTCATGGACTTGCCCTGGACCCCACAGTGGGGTGAGTTTAAGTGCTTTTAGTCTTGAATCAGCTTAGCAATTCTACAAGATACCAACAATTACAATTAAAGTGTTAATTATATCGTCAGAGATTTTAATGGCATCATGGAGCATCCTTTCATGTCTGTATTTTGTCTGTGTCTGCAGCTACATGTTCTTCACAGACATGGGCACTGGCAGTGAGCAGATGAAGCTTGAACGTGCCTTCATGGATGGCAGTAATCGCTTGGAGCTGGTGAAGATTAGACTTGGCACTCCGACAGGAATTACTCTGGATATTGTCAATAAGAGGGTCTACTGGTCTGACAGCCACTTTGACACTGTGGAGACTGTCACCTACAGTGGTCTGGATAGGTAAAGGATGGAGATTTTACCTTATCTGGAATATAACATCCCACTACAGAAACATTGCATCCATGTTGTGTTCTCTTTGATGGCCACTCTTTGGTGTTGCTGTTTCCAGGAAAATTGTTCTAAATGGTGGAACCCAGGCTCCGCATCCTTTTGGAATTGCTGTGTTTGAAAACCACGTCTTCTTCACTGACTGGACCAAGATGGGTTTAGTGAGAGCCAACCGCTTCAATGGCAGCAACCCATCACTTCTTTATCGTACCGCACAGAACCCGGGTCATGTTGTTGTCTCACACCCTGTCCTGCAACCTGTTGGTAAGGATCTCTAACTGAAAAAGGTCTTTCTTGTTCAATGTTCACTGGAATGACCACACGTGTCGTGTCTTGCAGTGATGAACCCATGCGGCAGACACAATGGAGGCTGTCAGCACATTTGTGTCTTGAGTCACCGCTCCGACAATGATGGCCTTGGCTTCCGCTGCAAGTGTCGCCATGGTTACGACCTTCAGCTCGACCGTCGGACCTGCTTTAGTAAGTTTTCTTTTTATTTAAATGATAATGTACATTGTTATACAATATCTTCCCTTCTCTTAAATATGATTACACTTAGAGAGTCTGATTACCTGCCAGTAACCACTGCCACTCTTTTAAACAGAGGTGAAGGACTACCTGTTGTTGGTCACCTCTCTTGCGGTGCGAGGAATCCCACTGAACGTTTCCCTCCAGGAGGACCTCACCCTGCCCCTCCACGGGCTTGGAAGTTCATTCTCTGGCTCCGCTGTAGAGTTTGACGGCAACGAGGAAACAATTTTCTACAATGACAGATCCAAAGGACTTGTCTATAAGTCAAGCCTCAATGGCACAGGTGAGTTTTTATTACAAATACGTGTAATGAAATTCCAATGCTTAAAACCCCTCAATGCTAAAAGCTACACATTCTTTTCATCATCCTTTAGGTCACATCTCACTGTTCTGATTTTCTTTATGCATTCTCAGTCCAACAGATTTTGACAGGCTACAGAGTGGGAACAATTGATGCCATGGCTTATGACTGGACCTCCAATGTTTTGTTTTGGACCACAAGCTCCTACAGGTCGGTGGTGGCCTTTAATGTCAAAGACAAATCCAGACGAGATATTGTGACTGGACTGAGGAACCCAAAGGGAATTGCAGTGCATCCTAGTGCTGGGTGAGTGCCCAAATCTATCAGGTGTATATACCAGAGAATGATCGGGACAGGCAGGGAATCACACAGTACAGCACATTCTCTGGTTTACAACCTCTGTTCTTAAACATTTCAGTCTTGTAATGGACGCACATACTTACCTTTCACTTACTTTGCATTTTATTCCATTTATTTTTTATTTTTACTGTACACCATTTCAATAATTTAGATTGCTTCTACTCTAGGGAAAAGTTAATAATGGTAATTGTATTTTATTTGTATGGCCCACTAAAGATCAATTGTAGTTGTAACAAATTAAAGCTCTGTGTTTAGGTTATAATCAATTAATCTGGATTAAGTGATTTTATTAAATTATTACATCAAGATGAACAAATCTGTCCTCTAACTTGTCTCCTCACATGTTGACAGCTACTTGTTCTGGTCTGACTGGTACCGTCCAGCCGTCATCATGAGAGGCTTTACTGATGGCAGCAATGCTATTCCTCTGGTCAACACGACACTGGGATGGCCATACGGACTCTCTGTGGACTATGTGTAAGGTTAACAGTGAAGCATTGATCGATTCCTGCAAATGATTTAGAGCAAGAAATATTATAACGTATTTTGATTGGACTATTCCTTTAGATTAACTCATGAATTACTTGTGATTGGTCTTTGACAGGATGGACAGGGTGTACTGGGTCGATTCCCTCTTGGAGCAGATTGGTCACATTGGCATCGAAGGCCATGACAGACAGGTGTTTACCAATATCGGCCAGATCACTCAACCCTACTCCTTGACTATTTACTCAGGTGGGATTTTATAATTTCTCTGCTACTTTTGTCACAGTGAAACTAAACTTTATTACCAAAAAATTCGGGAAAATTCCTCAACTGTCTTTATTGTTAGAATACCTGCGTCTTGACCAAACTAGTGGTGAACAAGGGGTTAAAATAATAAATAACTGTAATACAGCTCACAGTGTCTTCTATTCTAATCTTCTATTTTTGACATAGATTACCTGTATGTGTCTGACACACGGACCAGAGCAATATTCGAGATGAGGAAGAGGGACGGAGGAGGAAGCATCATGATCCGACAAGGAGTCACCGGGATAATGAATGTTAAGGCCTACACAGCCGACCTTCACAGCAGTAAGTTCACACACTGGGGTCTAACACTTCCTTCCTACAGTAACTGACGGTAAGTAAAGGCCACAATTGTGACAGGTTAGATAACTGAGAACATGAACTGGATCAAGATGATGTGACTTCTATTAAACAGTGGATCATTTACAAAATGAGATCATATCCATATTGCATTTGTCAAACAGTGACTGCAGGGTCAGGGTCTTAGTTGAGCAAGTGAGTCGGACGGATATCACAATCTATAAAACCCACTGACTGCAACTTTATCATCCTCCCGACAGCTTTAACCAGCCGGTGCAATGTGGTGACCAATGGGCGCTGCAGCCACTTCTGTTTCCCAACCCCCTCCTTCAGTCGAGTGTGTGGCTGTCCATACGGCATGAAACTGGAGGCCAATCAGAGGGACTGCATCAAGGACGATTCTGTAGTCCCACCTGACAACATCTGTGGTGACTACGCCTTCGAGTGTGATGAAGGGCGTTGCCGGCCCAACTCCTACCGCTGTGATGGGATCTTTGACTGCATAGATAAGACTGATGAGGCCAACTGCACAGATACAGGTGGACATCTGAAAAACCTTATGAGGCTTATGAGAATTATTGAGGAAGCAATTGTATTAATTCAACCACCTGCTTCTCATGTCTTTACCAGGAGCGACCTGCTCTCCACAAGCGTTCACCTGCGACAATCGGCACTGTATTCTGCCCAGCTGGCGTTGTGACGGCATGGATGACTGCGGCGATGGATCTGATGAAAATAACTGTCCCACTCATCTTCCTACCACTTGTACAGCCGACTTCTTTACCTGCGAAAACAGCAGGTGTATTTCTAAACTGTGGTTGTGTGACGGTGACAATGACTGTGGTGATGGCTCTGATGAACAAAACTGCAGTAAGTCTGTGGCCGTCAGTCCATTATCATTCTGTCTTCATGAGATTGCACCTCATGTAATTCTACACGTATAATTATCTTTTTGAATATACTGAAAAAAGCTGTTATATCTGTGACTGGCAGACTCAGCCATCACTACATGCCCCCCTGCCTACTTCCTGTGTCCCGACCACCGCTGCATCTACAACTCCTATGTCTGCGATGGAGACCAAGACTGCCTTGATGGCTCTGATGAGCTAAACTGTGGTAGGAATCACTATAACTTCCTTGTTTGTGTTGATCGTTTGTGTAAAACAAAACACTTCCTCATTGAGCCAAATGGATTCATATTAGGGCTTGATATGAAATATATTTGCTGCTGCACGGAGATACGTTTGTGTTTACTTATCTTTTCCCTCTTATTTTTCATTCTTCTGCGGTTTAAGAATTTTCCTGTGCCTCCTATGAGTTTGCCTGTGCCAGCGGGGACCAGTGTGTCAATACGAGATATCGGTGTGATGGGGTGTTTGACTGCAGAGACCATTCTGATGAACGAGACTGCCGTAAGCTGACAACGCTGACTTTAGCTTTATATTCAAAAAATTATTATGCAAATTGTGTTTTTAGTGATGTAATTATGATTGATTGCACCACTTGACATTCTGATTTATGTTCCATTATTACCATTATTACTAACAATTACCCTTTATCTTAATTTTATTGGTTGGTCTTGTCACAAGAATGTGATTAATATGAACCAATGAAAATGCAATTTGATGCATATTACACCTCTGTCTTGTTTTTCAGCTTTCTGCCTCTGTAAATTACTGAAATGTTTCACTGCAGTTTCAGTCACTTTAAATGTCTTTGGACCCGACAGCCACTCGAGGACCAGGCCTCTGCCACAGTGATGAATTCCAGTGCCAGGCCGATGGCTTCTGCGTACCAGACAAGTGGGAGTGTGACGGCCATCCGGACTGTGAGGACGGATCAGACGAACACAACTCTTGCCCACCTGTCACTTGCAACTCCAATTACTTCCAGTGTACCAACAAAATGTGTATCCCAACAAGTTGGCTGTGCGATGGCGACAATGACTGTCGTGACATGAGCGATGAACAGAACTGCCCCACCCCTCCTTTTAGTTGTCCATCTGGACAGTGGCAGTGCCCCACTGACCTGGTGTGCATAGACCTGGACAAGGTGTGCAACGGACAGAGGGACTGCCCCAATGGAGCAGACGAGTCACCAATCTGCAGTGAGTTTTAGAAATATCATGTCTTGCATTATGTCATCCCATCAAGACAAACAACCAGAAAGAGATGCAAAATAACAATAGAGAGAGACCGAACAAGATGCAAAATCAGGCGTAAAACAATTAAAATGGTTACAGAGGTGCAAAATGACCTCAAAAAGACAAAAATACAGAAAATCCTCAACAATAAATGCAGCCTGATGCCCACTAATTCAATTCTATGTCATTTCATGAAGACCAAGATGATTGTGTGTTGAACAACGGGGGCTGCAGTCATGACTGTGTCCAAGGACCTTTTGGGGCTCAGTGCACCTGTCCTCCAGGACTTCAACTCAACGACACCAAGAACTGTGAGGACATCAACGAATGTCTGATCCCCGGTTTCTGCAGCCAGCAGTGCTACAACGAGAGAGGAAGCTTCCGGTGCTACTGCTCAGATGGTTACCTCCTTGAGCCCGATGGACGCACCTGCAAAGCTGCAGGTAAACAAAAAACATCACAATTCAGTAAATGTAGCAGTTAGACAAGATTCTGGAATGAAACATTATATTTTTTGGCCTTTAGATCCGCTAGCAGCTCTACTCCTGGTTTCAAAGCGTAGCCAGATAATCGCCAACCGGATCAATTTGAGACCACCCCTGATACATCCATTGATAAGTGGTTCAAGCATAGTGACCGTGGACTTTGATCGTGTGACCTCCAAAATCTACTGGGCAGACGCCTCACAGAAGAAGATATGGTGTTCCAACCAGAATGGCACCGACAGACAGGAAGTGAGAGAAATGCTCATACAGATGTTTTCAATCAAAACTGTGATATTCTTTTCATGGCCGAGATTAAATATGTCTGCCACGTCTGTTATTCTAGGTATTCTCCACTGGTTTAATGGTGCCAGAGAGTGTAGCTGTGGACTGGGTGGGTCGGAACCTTTATTGGACCGACTCTGTCATGGAGAACATTGAGGTGTCCACTCTAGATGGTCGCTTCCGCAAAGTCCTCCTCACTAAGAATGTCACCAGCCCCCGGGGATTAGTTCTGGACCCTCGCAACTAGTAAAACACGATTTTGTACTTTTTAAAATATATATAATTTACAGCTTCAGATTAATTTATGAAATCTTGTCTTTCAACCCTCTTGAGTAATAAACTCTAATTCCTCCCAGCACCAACCTGATGTTCTGGTCAGACTGGGGTCAGAATCCAAGAATCGAGCGGGCTGACATGAATGGAGCCATGAGACGGGTCATCGTCAGCACAAAGCTCTACTGGCCCAACGGCCTGGCCCTGGACTACACCACACGCAGGGTCTACTTTGCAGATGCCTACCTCAAATATATTGACTACTGTGACTATGATGGCAACAACCGGCAACAGGTCATGGCGAGTGACCTGGTGGGTTTAGTTCAATTCCGTTATTTAGGAAAAAAAAAAAGTGAAATTTCACTAATTGATGTAAATGAAATGATAGATCGAAGTAATGAAAAACAAGTCTTAAAAACCGTCTTTGTGCTTCCCCACCTCACTCCAGGTTCTCCAGCACCCACACGGCATGACCGTCTTCGAGGACAGCATCTATTGGTCCGATCGCTACACCAACAAAGTGATGAGGACGAACAAGTTCCACGGTGGCAACGTCACCACTCTGATGAACAATGTCTTCCAACCCATGGGCATCGTTATGGATCATCCCATCAAACAACCCACTGGTAATTTTCAATCAAACAGAAAATCTAATTTACTCACTTGTAGTTTTCTTTATTGTATTAACATGTTGTGTGTTGATGTCGTGGAGGAAGTTAAAAACTCTGTCTTACCTGTGATCAGTTAGAAACAGTGAGAAAATCGTTGAATCTATTTTCATATTTTCTTATCACAGAGTAAAATACATTTTACTGTATCATGGGCTGCTGAAAAGGTTTTGAATGAACTAAAGAACTCTGGTCATGAGCATAAACAGCAGCAGGCACTATAGCTAAGAACAAATGATCGTGTATGCAGAAAAAGTCGGATTGAAGGTGACATTGTGGTTTTGTATTTAGCCGTCAACCCATGCAGGGAACACCTGTGCAGTCAGCTGTGCCTGCTGTCGGGCCTGAGACCCAGGTACTACACCTGCCACTGTCAGTCAGGCTGGAAGCTGGACACTGATAGACGCACATGTATCAAAGGTGAGTCACTTTTACTTTTTATCAAATGACAATGAAGTTCACTTTTACTTTGACATTTCCTCATCTGGCAGATGCTTTTAGTCAAATTGACTTCCAGCTGTGGGGCAACACACAATCCAACCAGCTACTTCATTATAATAACATTTAATTCAAATCATGTATCTTGTATGTTTCGACTCACAATGCACATACATTGTACAACTGCAAGCCTCAGTTTAAAAACAGTTGGAGAATGATGATAGACAGTCTTATCCCTGCCTGAGGAATGTTTGTTACACCCTCTAATCCCTTTGTGTGAGAATTGTCTTCCTCTCAACATGTGTGCTCCTTTTTCCCGTTCAAGATGACACTCCCTTCTTGATGGTGGTGAGAGACTCAGTGATTATTGGCGTCCCTCTGGACCCCGCTGACCCCTCAAACAATGCAATGGCCCCAGTGTCAGGCATCAGCCAGGGGCGGGACATCGACTTTGACGACCAGGAGCAATATGTCTACTGGGTGCAGGCCACTGTAAGTGGAGGTGTTAAATTAAAACTCTGGATTCTGGAACTAGACGTTCTATGACATATAACGAATTGGCTTTTACACAAGGATGCTTTCATTAACTGTGTCTGATTTTGCTCTAATATCAGGGTTCTATATGGCGAGTGCAAACCAGTGGTACCAACAGGTCGGAGTTTGCTCCAGCGGCTCTCATGGGCTCACCATCTGGTCTGGCTTTTGATTGGATAAGCCGGATAATGTATTACTCCAATCCCACTGTTAAAACCATCGAGGTAAGCACTTTTTGAGATGAGAGTCGAGCCCGTTGTTGCCAGAACTACCCTCATATGTCAAGGTTGGACAAAATTACAAGATGTGTATTTATTTTGCTTATTGAAACCGGCATAGTATCTCTCTTTTTTCAGTTTTTCTTTTTTCATTGTGCAAGAGAATTCACAAAATTTAACAATTCACTTAGGTAATCCGTGTCGATGGAAACCAACACTATAGGAAGACACTCATCACCTCCACTGGCAAACCTGAGGGAGTGGGAGAACCCATTGGAATAGCTCTGGATCCAGCCCGAGGGTAAAGCATCCGTCCACTGAGAAAAACAAACCTATAACAACCTATTTGTTGACTTATTTAAATTAAATGGACAAAAAGACTTGAAGTAAATGATTGAGGATGTTCAGTTGTTTCTCGTATTTACACTCTCCAATCTTGTCCCTGCAGGAAATTGTTTTGGACAGACAAGGGTTCTGACAATGGAGTTCCTCCTAAGGTTGGCAGCTCAGACATGGACGGAGGAAACCTCAGGAACCTCTACACGGGCAACATGGCAAACATAGGATTCATCGCTGCTGACATCTCTGGCAGAAAACTGTACTGGGGTGTAGCAGGCTCTGGGGTGGTATGTACAAATAATGGACGAATAATTAGTATTAGCTGTCTTTTACTATTGTCTATTCTTGCTTTAGTTTAAAGAGTTTTCTTATTTTTTCATATTAACAATGGTCCTGCTTCAAATATTTTCAACAACCTCCTTTCTTTTTGCCCAGATCGAAAGTGGCACCATGGACGGAGTAGCCCGGGTGACGGTGGTCAGTGGTCTGTCCCATCCTTGGGGGCTGACAATCTACCAGAACCACCTCTACTACACAGACCTGGACTACGAGGTCATTGAGAGGGTGGACAAGGACACCGGTGCCAACATGGTGGTGATGAGGAGTGGCATGTCTGGTCTGCGTGCTCTCAAAGTGCACGCCAGAGACGGTACATGGATTCACTCATGTTTGATTCAGTTGTTGTTGTTGTCGTTGTCTGTCCTTGAGATTTTTGGTGCTCTCATCTTTCAAGCTGTTTATTATGCAACAGGTAATTACTGCCAGACTGCCAGTGAGGGAGTGAATAGGAGCTTAGTGTCCTCTTCAAGGACACCACACAGCAGAGTGACTCATGTTTCATATTTTAAGTGTAGCTTTTGTGTTCATATGGCCTTTAAAGTCCACATAGATTGTTTTCAGAAATGGAAGATTACACCTCTTTTAATCAAGATTAGAAACTGAAGTTTGTGTTCCTGTGTATATCATTCATCATTTATAGAATAAAAACAACTTGATAAAGGCTCAGATATTAATGATAAGAATTTTTAACTCTCAAGAAGATAAGCATCTGAGAATGTCAGGGAGACAGACAAAAGTATTGTTGTAAATCATTTCAAAGTTTAGATAATACAGGATTTTCTATTAAACACCACATACCATAGAAATGATAAGAACAGGATTAGGATAATGTCAGATATGATGTGTTTGAGGGCTGTTTGGCTGTCCAAGTAAAGTTATTTGGTTATTATTATTATCATAGTTATTATTTTGTCTTTTATTATCCACTCAGACTCCGCAGGGACCACCAATGCCTGCAGTTCCAACAATGGGGGCTGTCCTCACCTCTGTCTTCCCAAACCAGACAACCAAAAGACCTGTGCCTGCACCACAGGCTTTAACCCCTCTCAAGATGGCTCCCGCTGTGAACAGTTTGAATCATTCGCCATCATTTCCACCCCAAAGTTCATCCGTGGCTTCCACATAAACAGCTCAGACCACTCTGAGGCAATGGTTCCTGTTGGTGGACGTATGTTGACTTCATATTATTATTCTGCCTCCTGCATATTATACCACCTGTTAGTTTCTGGCTATAAATTATCCCAACATAAGTTAAAACAACTAATATTTTCCTCTTTTGCAGCTTCCTACTCCATTAAGGACAAACTGGACCTCCATATTGAATCTGGCTTTATTTTCTGGACTGACAGTACCACCTCCACCTCATACAGAGGCATCTTCCAAGCAAAAACAGATGGGGGCAGATACAGCAATGTCATCACCTCTGGTCTCGGAACAAGAGGCATTCAGGGCCTCGCAATAGATTGGATTGCAGGTATGAAGCCACTCATCCATCCAACCATCCCTTTATTCATCCATTACCTTTACAATGGGGCAAAACATTTGTAACATATTTGATCCTATTAACATATTTTAGCCAGTCAGTCACTATAGCTGCTTGCTCTGATATTAACATTCTCTTCATTCCCTCTTGGCCTTTCACTTCTTCAGGTAACTTATACTTCAGCAATGCCTTTGACAGCGAGACCTACCTGGAAGTGCTTGCAATCAACACCACCTACAGAATGATTCTTCTCAAGTCCTCCCAGGATCAACCCCGTGACCTGGCCGTCAGCCCCAAGCTTCGCTACCTCTTCTGGACTGACGGCGGCCAGACACCTAAAATTGAGCGAGCTCTGCTGGATGGCACCAACCGCACGGTGTTGGCATCAGAGAGCCTGGCTTCACCTCGCGGCCTCACCATTGATTACACTAACGACTTCCTCTATTGGACAGATGATGTTCTTGATATGATCTCTCGTATGGCCACAGATGGGACACAGAGACAGATTGTCAGGTACGGCAGTCGTTATCCATCTCCCACAGGCTTGGCTATATTTGGAAACTACATGCTGTGGGTGGATAAGAAGCTGGGGAAGCTCTTCCAGGCCAGTAAAGACCCAGCCAATACCGACCAGCCAGAGGTAGGATTCAAATTAGACTAAAAAATGTTCTGTTTTGTATTTAGTAGTATTTAGTGGCATTGTATCAGTTTTGTCCATATCTAAAAGGTAATGCAGTAGGATATAACAAGAGTAATACAATGACATCATCAAGAGTCAATTCAGGACATTTGACAATCCTGTTGCTATTGTTCTATTCCTGTATTACTGAATAAAAAACATTATTATTTGTAATTTATCCAGGTCATACGAGACAGTCTTGATGGGCTCATGGACGTGGCCATATTTGATGCTCATGTCCAGCCCACATCTGCCAACCAGGTCGGTTTTAACCCATGTCAAGAAGATAATGGACGCTGCCAGCAGCTCTGCTTCGCCATCCCAGGCCAGGAGAAACCAAAATGTGGCTGTGCACATGGGTCACTCCTTAGCAATGGAGTAACATGTGGTTATGGCCTGGATGAGTTTCTAATTTTCACCACAGACTACACACTGAGTACCCTGAGGTTAGACCCTGCAGACCACAGCACTCCCTATCCAGAAGTGAACTTGGGCTACAACACAATGGCACTGGATTATGACTTCAAGGAGAAGCGGATTTTCTTCACCCAGTATATGGGGATTGGGCGAAGCAGGATTGGCTACATCACTACAACATCCATCACCAGCCCACCGGTCAATGTAGCTACAAGTGAGTTAAGCATTGCCTGTTGCTGTATTCACATTGATCTATCGGACCCAGTCTGTTTCTGTTTTCTGTCTCTAATTATAACTGTATCCTCACCTCTATGTTATATTGCACAGATTTGGATGATCCAGAGGGACTGGCCTATGATTGGGTCAACAAGCGTCTCTACTTTACTGACTACAATACACGTAATGTCCAGTCCATTGGGGTGGATGGGATGAATCGCTCCATCATCGCCCATGCAAATCGTCCCAGAGGCATCATTGTCGACCCCTGCTATGGGTAAAAGCAACCGATTATTATATCACTACCAAATATCCACAGACTCGAGATGGTTCTCAGGTATTAAAGGTGAGTAAGCATCATTTAAGTATGGGATCCCTTTCCTCACCTTCTCTTTCTGCCTAGTTACCTTTACTGGACTGACTGGGGCTTCCCAGCGAAGATCGAAAGGGCCACACTGGGTGGAAACTTCCGTACCGATATCATCAACAGCAGCCTGACAACACCCAGTAGCCTGTCTCTGGATTATAAAGAAAGGATGCTCTACTGGGCTGACAGTTCATTGTATGTCCATTCTTTTATAAATACTGTGCTGCAGCAGAATCCATACAGCTCAGATTTTAGTTTTGACAATTTCTTTTCTCCCTTTGTCCTTCCCACAGAGACAAGATAGAACGGTCTACTCTGACTGGTGGGAACCGACAAGTGATCATGCAGGGGGTCCAGTACCCGTACTCCATGACTGTCTTCCAGCAGGACATTTTCTGGACTGACTGGAATGAGAGAGGCATCTTCAGGGCTGGAAAGGACGACGGCTCTGGCTTAACAGTGCTGGCCCAGGACCTGCAGTACCGACCAAACAACATCCATGTTTATGCTGCATCCAAGCAGGAGAGCTGCAACAGCTCCTGTCAGCAGTTCAACGGAGGCTGCAGTCATGTCTGTGTTCCTGGTAAGAGACAACCAGGGTGGAAGGAAACACATATAACTGGCACATATAACTAAGTAAAGGCTCATTTATACTCAACATAAGATACACCTTCTGCGTTCAATGTAAGGATGCATGGAAATATGATTTCATCGTTGAAATGGACAGAAATCTCTTTACATACATAAAGGCAGCATAAATATGTTTTAAGACTTCAGTGAGAGAACTCTGACCATCCTAAACAATACACACAATCAATTATTAAATTCCCTCACCTCTCCTGCAGGTCCATTGGGTCCAGAGTGCCAGTGTCCTCATCAGGGAAATTGGTACCTTGCCAACAACGGCAAAGACTGTATCAAAGACATCGGGAAACGCTGTCAGCCAGAGCAGTTCACCTGCCTCAATGGTAACTGCATCTCATCTCGATGGAAGTGCGACGGCTACAATGACTGCCGCGATAACTCGGACGAGCAGGAGAGAGTGTGTGGTAAGACTGGAAGTTTAATCTAACTTTGAACAGCACAGCAGCGTTGATTGGACAGATAGATGTAGCTTGTCTGTCGTTCCTCCTGTGCAGCCTTCCACACCTGCTCAGCAATGGACTTTACCTGCGACAATGGGCGCTGTCTGCCGCTCAGCTACGCCTGTGACTACACAGATGACTGTGGGGACAACAGTGATGAGAGGGGCTGCCCTTTCCCCACATGTAACCCCAACACAGAGTTCACCTGTGGCAACGGACGCTGCATCAGCGCAGCATTTGTCTGTGACGGCCACAACGACTGCAGGGACAATGCCACCTCTGACGAAATCAACTGCCGTGAGTAATGATAAGGCAGATCTCAACATCAGATAGTTGAATATCATGGTTGCAATTGGCACCTTCCACAAGTGACTCTATGTTATTAAATAAGAGGCATATGTACTGTAATATATATCTTCTACTGACCCTGTATTCCTCCCCTGCCCTCCTCAGCTGACAGGACGTGTCCTTCTGGTCAGGTGAAGTGTGACACAACCAACATCTGCATTTACCCCGAAAGTCTGTGTGACGGCTACAACAACTGTGGAGACAACAGTGATGAGAATCCTCTGTTCTGTGGTAAGTTGAACACCGGGAATTAGTTTTGCTGCCACGAGAAGCTCATGCTTCATGAGTCTAAATCTACAAAACTGCACGTGTGTGTCACTCTACTGCAGCGGATCGCACATGCTCTCCTGACCAGTTCCGCTGCGATGGAGGGAAGTGTATCCCTCAGTCTTGGGTGTGTGACTTTACCAGAGACTGCACTGATGGGACAGATGAACCTCCAAGTTGTGGTGAGTTTAAAAGTTAGTTTTTAGTTAAAAGGTACAAAATTAATTCAAATAGCATATTCTTAGTCTTGGTAGTTTGACCGGACTCATTTGCTTTTGTCTTTCTTGTCGCCATTCATTAGTTTTATCCACACATTTTAATATGTCTAGTATGTTTTCTGTATGTGTAAGAAGTAAGT